AAACCAGCTGGATGCCCCCATGGGAACCATTGTTTGGTTAACAGCCGTAAGTCTTTAGCAGCCCCACTTGCCAGCTTTTTTGAATGACGAAAATGGGGTGTTCAGGTGAAGTAGAGGGCTCTATGGGTCGCAGCTAATTGTTCCTGCACCAACACTGTAGCTTCGGCTAGCTTGTTAGATGGGGAGGGGCCACTGATCGATCCAGACAGGTGAGTCACTCTTCCAAGTGATTTTATCTGCCCGAAGTGCAGGGGGATCAATGGCCCTTACGAAAAATGGTCTTTGAACCCTAGTCCTGATCTGTCTGACTTAGGAGGGTGGTTAAGGGTGCTCTTAGTCTGACCCTCTTTGCCTAAACCCTGTCCTGGGAGGAATCCCTGTTTAAGCATTTGGCTGGCTACAACTTCTTGGGCTGCACATAATGACATCATTTGTGCAAGGATATCACCCCCCATAAGTTAACAGGTAGGCTCGGGACTACAAAGGTTGAGATAGTACCTCTGTTTCCTCAGAGTCTTCCCATGTCAAAATTTTTGAGCTCTGAGAGTATCTCTAGACTGTCCTATACCTTGTAAGTGCGTAAGGGGGCTGCAGTGGCCATGAATCGGGCCAGCGTCTTGGCAATAACCGTGGAATCGGCGCCTGAATCAAAAAGGCCTTCAAAAAGTTTACATCTAATTTTAGCCACAGGGTGGGCCGTTCTTGGTGATAGCTTGACCCAATAGAGATCAGAAGAGCCAGGGCAAGAAGCACCTCGTTGCGCGATGCGGGAAGGATGTATTAGGGCAAGGGTAATGCCTGAGCTAGCACTGTCCCTTAGAGACATACACAGGGCCTGTAAGGCACTGGCTAAGATGTTAATTTCCCCGGTAAAGTCACTATCTACTATGGAGGGTGGACTATGAGCCCTGCAAGAGTGAGGAGCTCGGCCCCGAATAAAAAAGAACATATTAGCCCGGGGGGGGGGGTTGTCCAAAGGAGCAGTGGGCAAAATTTGAACACCATCCTCAGGTCTTAATATTGTGTCGGAGGAGGCACACAAGTCCACTCCTGCGCTCCCTGTGGTTGCTCGGAGGAGTCTAAAGTTTGGGGGCTCTCTTATCAGCTGTTCCCCGAGGCCGACTGAAATTGAATAGGACGGGGGCCCAGGGCTGGCCCCTCAGCCGTTTCCCAAAGGGGGGGCAAGGGGTTCCAAAGACATCAGTCTTGGAGCGGCATTGATTGGCCCAATGCTTTCCCTCTTACAGCGAGGACAGAGGAGGAGGGCTGGGCTGGCTGCTGGCGGCTCACTGAGGTTAGGGGTAGCAGAGGAGACGGCTAGGGGGCACTGCCTCGCAAAGTGCCCTGGTTGACCGCATTTAAGCAGTCCCTCTGTGCGCGGTCCTTGGAGGCGGCCCCAACCGCAAGCTGTACGGCCTGCGATACCTTATGGGCGAAGGCTCAACATCATTACACATTCTAATCATGTCATTAAGGTCTTTTTTTTGAGTTTACCTGAGGATGGCCCTGCAAGTGCTGTTGGCATTTTCATAGGCCAATTGTTTAATAAGCCTATTATTCTCATCTTCGTGTCCGAGGGTTCGTTCAGCAGACTCTAAAAGCCTGCCCACAAATTCACTAACACCCTCTTGAGCTTCCTGGGTGATTTTTGTCAGGGGAGTAAGAACAGATCCCGTAGAGGGAAGTGTACGCCAAGCGCCGAAGGCGGCCGTGGCGGTCTGAGACAAAAGTCCAATTGGGAGTCCCCTTTGGCGCTGTTCAGTAGCAAATCTCCCCTGTCCGCTAAGCTTTTCAAGGTCCAAGATGCAGAATTGGGGTTTTTTAAAATATTAGCAGCCGTGGTCTGACAGCGGTCGAGAAAGTCGGCCTTCCAAGAGAGGAACTTCCCGAGAGAAGGGACCGCCTGTACTAGTCTGATCCATTCTCCGGGGAGCAGGTAGCCGCCCCTGAGGCTGCCTCTAGGAGGGAATAGGTAAAGGGTGCATTGGGCCCATACGCCCTAACAGCAGAATTCAGTTCTTTTAAGGTTTTAAATTTTAGTCTGCGAAATTCAGTGGGCTCTGCAGTGGGCCCGGGACTGTCTCCCCGGGGGGGTCATCACTTTCACTTTCCCTTTCTTTCTCTTCTGTATTCTTGTCATCTGAATCTTGGGGCCGGGACTGGGTAGAAGAAGGGGCGACAAGGTCTTCTTGCCTATTAGACCTGGTAACTACCGGGAATGCTAGGGCTTTATGGGAGGACTTTAAGGATTTTTTATTTAAGGTGGCGTATGACTGGGCAGTCTCATGACGTGGGTGGCTAATGAAAACAGAATCTTTAAGCGTATCTTGGAGGGAGGACAAGTCTTTGGAAAGCTGGGCAAACTCTTTTTGAAGTTGTAAGACATCCTTTAATTGCCTAACCCTTTGACTTAAGTTTTTTTTGGCACGCAAAAGTAAGGGCATTGTAAGGGGAGGCATTAACGAAGGTGCGCAAATCTGGGGCAGGTAAGGAGGAGGCCATTCGGGATCGTGATATTGGCCTTTTCTCTCGAGGTTGCCCTTCTGCGGTCGAGGGACTCTTGGAGGGGTTGTTTCTTGAATACCGAGTAATTGAATGCATGGGGCTATACCCTCGGGTAAGGGAGGATAGAGGGTCTTGATGTCTGGCCTACTAATCGGGGCTCGTCCCTAGGATGTCTGGAGCTCAGCCGAGGGGTCCTGAGGGGGCATATTAATACAAACTGAGGGGGAAGGGGAGGGGCATGTTGGTCTCTCAGGATCATTAGGGGAAGTTGGCCCTCCGGTCGCCTCTAAAGACGTTCTTGAAGCGGACCGCGACACGGGTCGGAGGCAGAATTCTACTATTGAGAGCAGCTGCTTTTTATTGGGGTCTGAATCTGCTCCCTCAACAATATCTCTGATTAGTCCCCAGTACAAGAAAATGGATACAGGGACGGCATCTGGGCCCTGATTTAGAAGTAAATTGTTTAGATCTCTGCCTACCTTTTGCCACTTGCGTGGGTGAATCTCAGGTCCACCAACAATGAACCAAGGACAAGCATGATCAATGAACACAAAAAACTTTACTAGGTCCTTTTTCTTAACTCTAATTCCTCTCTCTCTGAGCGAGGCCTTGAGATCCTTGATAAAAACGGCCTCTTTAGACAAAGAATGGCCCATCTTGATGGGATGACAATGTAAAAAATCTACTCACCAGACCGTCGATTCTGTGAGCGGCAGAAAGGAGATCTCTTCAGGGATTCTCCGGAGAACTGTCTGTAACCGTGTGCATCCGACAAAAGTCAGTACCTCGAGCCCCACGTTGGGCGCCACTTGTCCCAACCCGAGGGACCTTCTGTTACTCGTGGGGTCAAGGGGGACCGTGCCTGAAAGAGATGGGCGAGAGAAAGGAACGAGACCAAGAAAAGGGTTGTCAAGGTCTACTTTACTTGGATTCTTAGTAGGTTTTATAAGCATACAGAAACAAGGAAGTAGAAACAGAAAAATAGAGTGGGGTGACGATGAGGCTTGGGTCTGGGCAATCAGCCCCAATCAGCGTCTTATCAGTATCGAAGCTGTTTGTGACTGATTACTCAACCCCAACCTGGCAGGTGGTCGGGAACAATTGTAGTCAGCACTCCCTGGAGCATCCCATGGTCAGCACGTCATGGAATGCATTCTTTTTTTTGTTTGTTTTTTTTTTTTTTTTTTTGAGACAGAGTCTCACTTTGTTGTCCAGGCTAGAGTGAGTGCCGTGGCGTCAGCCTAGCTCACAGCAACCTCAAACTCCTGGGATCAAGCGATCTCCTGCCTCAGCCTCCGAGTAGCTGGACTACAGGCATGCGCCACCATGCCGGCTAATTTTTATATATATATCAGTTGGCCAATTAATTTCTTCTATTTAGTAGAGACGGAGTCTCGCTCTTGCTCAGGCTGGTTTTGAACTCCTGACCTTGAGCAATCGCCCGCCTCAGCCTCCCAAGCTAGGATTACAGGCGTGAGCCACAGCGCCCGGCCGGAATGCATTCTTCTCGGAGCTATAGCTGGAATTTTCCAGGGCGAAGCCCGTGCGTAGGACGAGTCATAGGGGAGTTGAGGGTCTTTGAGGGTCCTTGCCTCTAGCAATGTAGAGGAGGTTATTTTATACCTTTCTAGGCTAGTCTCCTGATGGCTTCTATTACAACAATAACCTTAGACTCTGCTGCATTTGTGGAAACAAAACTCTGAGCTCATTCTGAGCTATCATTAGCCTTGAAATGGCTCTTATTTAGTGTCTAAATCTAAGTTGACCTCCAAAGCTCTCTATTTTTTATTGATTTTTATCTTCTGTTATACTCGAGCTAGCATACTCTGTTTTCACCATACCTGCTCTCTTGAGGGCTACTTGGATCTTCTGCTTTTATCTCTCAGCCTTTGCTGAGAGTTGAGTCAACACTTTCCTCTTGTCGACTGTATAACATCCTTCTCTTTAAATTACATTATCTTTTCATAGGTGCTCTCCTTTGTTTTTCCTATACTTTATCTGAGCCACAAAGAAAATCCGTGAACCTCTTTAATATACTCATTTATTTCTTTGAGATAATGTTTCACTCTTTTACCCTGGGTAGAATGCAGTGGTGTCATTGTAGCTTACTGCAACCTCAAACTCCTAGGCTCAAGTGATCCTCCTGCCTCAGCTTCTGAGTAGCTGGGACTGCAGGAGCATGCTACTACACCTGGTTAATTTTTTCTGTTTCTGGTAGAGACAGGATCTTGCTTTCATTTAGGCTGGTCTTGAACTCCTGACCTTAAGTGATCCTCCTGCCTGGGCCTCCCAGAGTGCTAGGATTACAGGCTGAGCCACCACGCCTGGCATCCTTATTTATTTGTGTTTATATTTATGTAAATGAATTGCTTGCCTATGAAACTGTAAGTTTCTGTGAAAATGCTTATTCTTCAATATTCTTTGTAGTACCTAATATAGTATTAGGGAGTACTTTGTAAGAATCTATTGGCTAATTGATATCTCTTCCATCAAAGGTCTCCCAACATTTGATTCGTCCTCTGATGGGCATGAGTCTGGCATTGCAGTGCCAAGTGAGGGAGCTAGCAACATTGCTTCGTATGAAAGATCTAGAGATCCAGGACTACCAGGAGAGTGGGGCTACACTGAGCCGAGGTGAGAAGACATTCTTGAAAGAGTTGGGTGGGGAGTGGTTTAGATAGTCAAAGGGTGGAAGAAAGGAGGAGATTCATTTGCATTAGAGAGGTGCTTCTCCCAGGGTGGGTGCTGGATACTGACCAGGAACTGGAGACTTAATACTAGGCAACACTTTTTTCTGCCTTGAGTATCTGGTTATGACCAAAAAAGACATAACTGAGTCCATATATGCCCTAGGCAATGGCAAGGAAAGACTTTTGTAAAGGGGCCAGTAGCTGTACAAAATTGTGTTAGAGCAACATGAACTTGGGAATTTAGGAAGTTGCATGGCTCCCACTTCAGAATAAAAATTCACTTTGATCTTTGTCTTTATGGCAAGAAAAACTCCTAGAGCAGATGCTGCCAATGAACCTGCCACTTGTTGCTACTTGCCCTCTCCTTCCCCTGTTTGCCCACATACTCTCAACCCCTCTCCACTGGACTAGAATCTGGATGTTGCGTCTTTCTCCTCTTTCCCAAGAAGTCCTGGGTTCTGTTCCGTTTCCATCTCATAGGTAAGAAGCTCATCCTAAGACTCCTATTTCTTTTCTGTATTCCTTTTCATTACAGATCGATTGAAGACGGAGCCATTTGAAGAAAATTCCTTCTTGGAACAATTTATGGTAGAGGTAGGGTATTTGTTACTTCCTTGTACAACTTTGCTTTACTTTGTCTTTCCAGGTGCCTGAGTGGCAACTTGTACTTTGGGTGTTAGTTGGCTTCTGTGGTTGGAAAGCCCTTTGTCTAAAACAGTTGCCTATACAGAAAGTCTGACAGAGCTTGAGATGTACATAGGGAAGACGGGGGAGAAGAGGGGAAGAATGTAAGAGGTGAGAGTGGACTGATTAATACTTAAAAAAACCATCTCTGTTAAAGTACCTAGGGATTTCATTTAGAATTCTCTAACCTTGGAAAGCTTGGTTGACCAGTTGTCAGATTTTTGCTTGTTGAAATCTGGTCACAAGGTGTGGACTCTAGAGCAGAAGGGTAGTCCTTATTACTTGTCCAGGCCCTTTCAGCATCCAACAGTAGAGGAAGGTTAGACTCAGGCTACCATTTGGGGACTGTCTTGTGGGCACAGTAGGCTGTGGAAAATCACAGTGTTTATACAAGGGGACTGGCAGAGGAGTGAACGGGGAGTAGATAATTGTGGCCTGTCAGAAGCTCCTGCCTAGGTTTCCCTTCTAAGGATTGAGCTTGGCCAAAAGAAACATCTATTAAATGCCCAAACAGGGGGCATATTAATAATAGTGACCTTTGATAATACCAGTCAATATTGATTTTCTCCTTCCCTAACTCTTTTGGGACTTATTGGTCGTACAGTAGTACCTTAGTATTATTGCCCCACTTTTCTATTAATAATTATATATGTTACCCAAGTTGGTACTTTATTATATAAGTAAATAATGCTATTATAATATATGTAGATAGATTATTCATATTTATGTCTTGTCTTCTAGGCTAATTTATAAGCTCCTTGTGGACAGGGTCTGTGTTTCATACTTCTTCTGAACCCTACATTAGTACTTTTCACAGGGCTACACATAAAGCAGGTGTTCTTGATTTGGAACCTTCTGTTCTGCCTCTGTACATTGAGCAGGAAGGCTTGAGGTCTGAATGCTAAGAACAGAAAGTGTGAGGTGGGTGCTCAGCCACGTACTGAAGCAATTGTATTAATAACTTTGAAGAAGGAGAACATAGATTGCTAAATTGTGAATCAGAATAGGTGTCAGGTCTTTACGGGGAAGGAGAGACCATTAAGCCTAAATTTGTGACTGAGAAAGAGTTCCTAAGCCATTTTTCTTTCAGACAGCTTCCCCTTTCTATAAGTTTGGGCATTAAGGAGTTACCTTAGGCTGGGGATGAGTACTAGTTCCCTGCCTCATGCCCTTAGTTAAACAATGCATGGCTTATTCTTAGCTGAGCAGAGAGGTCTCTTCTTGATGGAGTGTCTACATACCTATCCAACTTGATTTCTTGACGTTTTTGCTATGTGCTTTATGCTTCATCCATATGGAATGACTTTTAATTTCCCCAAGTGTTGTTTTCTCTTGCCTTTATATACACATTCTTCTCTTTATCTAGACTGCTCAATTTTCTGGCCTTATCTACCTTGTAAACTTGTATTACTTTTTTAAATGTCAGCTTCAGCTTTTTGAGAGACCTTTCTGGACTCCTGATAAAGATAATCCTTCTTCCCTGCTACTATGGTACTTTGATTTATATCTCTATTTTACCACTTATAATATTGTTTTTAATATTATTGTCTGTCTACAAGACTATGGCTTTCTCCTCCACTGATCTGTGGACTCTATGAGGCAAGGACCATGCTGAATGCATCTCTAATAGCCCCAGTACTGAGCATCATTCCTAGAAGTAAGTAGTAGATTCTCAGTAAGTTTGTAGATGAATATTTTGGTAAATATATGCTACGGGGATTTTATGTCAATTACAGCAGTGTGGCCTGTGGATATGGTGTTGCTTGTTAGACCTGTATTTGGGGTCTTCAGTTATTCTTATGGTTTATTTTGCAGCTTTGGATAAATCACTTCTCTCAGAGCTACTGTTTTCTCATTTGTAAAATTGGAGGCTCATCTCTTTCATACTATTGGTGTGAGATGGAGCTCTGCAGAATTGAATGAGAAAGCATATATTAATAGAATCCAGGCATTAGCACAGGAAGGGTTTTTTTTGGAGCCAACTACTTCAAGAGTACTGGTCCTCTAGGTTCTGGTTGAGGCAACATCATAGACTTGTAGAATTTTATTATATCTGGAAAGGATCTGAGAGATAGTTATAGCTTTTCATTTTATAGATGAAGAAATTGAGCCTCAAAGAGGTTAAGTGAATTGCCTAAGGTCATGTAGCTATAGCTGTATGTTTAGGACTTCCCACCTTTCTTGACTCACAGTCTAGGATCATACCTGTTTTGTTTCATTGCTTTAACTGGTGGTACACAACAGTTAGGCGAGACATAAGGGCTAGTGTAACATGGAATTCTTGTGACCTCTGTGGTCACTGCACTGTCCTCGGTATGTCCTGCATAGCTGCTAGAGCTGACAGGTTTCCTATGGGGGCTGTAGAACTTCTTATGATAACTGTATCTTTTCAGTTACTCAGCTTGCCCGGGGTCCTACAAACAGGACACAGAAGGGTCATGGGGTCACCCAGGACTGAACTGAAAGGATGTGCCATCAAAATAAGCAACACAGAATAGGAAGATAAACAAACCAGGGAGAGAGCTCGGGATGAAGGTGCAGGGGGGCCAGGGCTGATGTCAGAGGGCCATGCGGTCATTGCTTGGGGTCACTTTTTAAAAATTCTCATTGGGATTATTGCTAGGGAAGAGGTTGTAGACATAGGGCACAGGGGGCAGTAGGACTGACAGACAGATTTCTAGGATAATAAGGTTAGGAAAAATAAGAATTGAACAGGGGTTACTTCCTTACATTTGGTCCTTTTGTTTTTCCCCTGTCCCCAAGAGTCTCTGATTTCTCACTTCCAAGGAACTCAAGGGGGCCAATAAATCATGACCTAACTATATGGAGAATACTGGCAATATCAGTTCAAATCAGGGTTGGGTGAGGTGGCTGTTGGCATGATCCTTATATAGGGCAACATCCCCATATAGAGCACTTCCTAGGACTAGGGGTTGAGAGGCATCTTTAGGAGTGGAAGAAGAGTCAGGGCACTGGGGACTGTTCTTGTATGGCAGTAGGAACTGTATTAAAGAGGAAGTTTAGGATGAATGGGCTGGCATAGCCCATTCTCAGTCTAGTCCACTGGAGGGAGTTCCTTCCCCTGGCCCTGCCCCTGCTTTGCTTTCTCCATCTGGTTGCCATCAGGCTGTGTGGCTGCTGGCGGGCTCTTTATTTATTTATCCCAGTGTAATGGGGTGAGGAGGGAGCTGGCCTAAGGCTGGCATTCCGAGGCTGTGCCACTGAGCCACAGGCGGTTTGCATGGGTGTGTGAGTCACTGGGGCTGCATGCTGCTCAAACCAGACTCGGCCAGGCTCAGGGACAGGAGGCAACCCAAAATAGAGCCCCGCCCTCTACAGCTGGCAACCCTTGGCTAGAAATCAGCCCTTGACGCCAAAACCTGGGCAGTTGCGTGAAGTTGGTTTCCTTTGGGAGGGGCTCCTTAGCAGAGAGAGCTAGATTTTGCAATTCTCTCCTTCTCTCTTCATAGGAGAGTATTCAGCATAGCAATCATCCCTACTGCTGCCTTCTGAATGCCTTATAAGACTTAAATAATCTGTTCAGTATAATATCTTAGCCAAGAAATTTGGGGGCTATAGTTAACGTTGATTTGACTCAGCATCCTAAATGTAGCCATGGTTGTTATATCCTGTCTAGTTTTAGTTACTGTCTTCATCCCCTGTCTGGTTGCAGCTTGATTCTGGAGCGGATACTTGAAGCTATGAACATATTCATTGCTGCTCTTACAAAGCTAGAGATTACATCAAAGACACCTGGGGAAGATGGGCAGCCCTTTAACCTGAAAATTCCCATCCTGTTAAGGTCATTCACAGATTGTTCTGCTTGCTTTCCTTGGCTGGCTCTCCATTCTTTATCTGTGCCATAAATGTCAGTATTACCCAAGCTTGTGTCCTTTGTCCTGTCACCCTTCACCTTCCTTCTTTCTGGGTTGTCTCATCCAGACCCCAGTGTCAACTATCATTACACCACTGAGTACCAATTTTATATCTCCACTCTGTTTCAGGCCGATATTTCTATCTGCACATTTGACATTTCCATCTGCATATCATATATATATATATATATACACACACACACATACACCACATCCTAAACATGTCCAATATGAGTTATCTACTCCCCAAACCTATTTCCCTCATCCCTTATATTCCTTACATTGGGGAACTGCACTGTATTCATTCAGTTCTTCCCTCCCCCCCTCCCCTCCCCTCCTCTCCTCTCTCTCTTTTCTCTTTCTTTTTCTTCTTTCTTTCTCCTCTTCTTTCTCTTCTTTCTTTCTTCTTTCTTTCTTTCTTTCTCTTCTTTCTTTCTTTCCTTCCTCCTTCCTCCTTCCTCCTTCCTTCCTTCCTTCCTCCTTCCTTTCCCTTTCTTTTCTTTCCTTTCCTTTCCTTTCCTTTCCTTTCCTTTCCTTTCCTTTCCTTTCCTTTCCTTTCCTTTTTCCTTTCCTTTCCTTTCCTTTCCTTTCCTTTTTCCTTTCCTTTCCTTTTTCCTTTCCTTTCCTTTTCTTTCTTTTCTTCTTTCCACAGGAAGTCTGACTGTGTCTCCTAGGCTGTAGTGCAGTGTGTGATCATAGGTCACTACAGCCTTAAACTCCTGGGCTTAAGCTATCCTCTGGCTAATTAAAAATAATTTATTGTAGAGATGAGGGTCTCGCTATGTTCCTCAGGCTGGTCTCAAACTCCTGGTCTCAAGAGATCCTCCCACCTCAGCTTCCAAAGTGCTGGGATTATACATGTGAGCCACCATTCAGTTTTTTAAATTTAGTTTTATTTTCATAGACACCTGTCCTGTGACATCCATTCAGTTTTCTAAGCTAGAAACTTGGGAGTCACCCACTTTCCACTCTGTCCCTACTTCCAAAGCCTAACGTATCACCTGTCTTTTGAATCTGCCCTTTTTGTCTATTCCA